CTCTAATGTAAAACCAAATACAGAAACGAATGCTTAATGACGGGGTTCAGCTCCGAAGCTGCGTAACCACTTGTTGAGGCGGTCCATAGGTGACAACTCCATCTTCTTTGTAAAGTCGGGGACTGTACCGTCTTTGATTAATGGTCCGACCACGACCCGAAGCTTAAGCCCAGCATAGCAGTGACCGGTCTCTGAGCTAATGAAATAATGGACTCCTGGTTTGGTAAGCCTGACGAGATCGTGTCCTGTCTTATGCACGGACACAGGAGAAGTCGGGTCGCAAGATATGAACTCAAGATCACCGCTGATTTCTAAAACATCGTTGTTGTATTCGAAAAACAGAGAGAGTCTCCAACATGAAACTGTTTCACCTCGCTCCACCTGTTGTAGAAAATCACCGTCGTAAACATTCCATCCTTTAGAGTCACCGACCTTGTAGAACTTTCCAAGAGGAAGGTCATTATTGATCGGTGGTGGAGGAACCGGACGTGATGGATCATGGACGACAAGAACGTCGAGCTTTTGTCCGGATACGCATTGAGCATGGTTTGAGCTGATGAAGTAGTGAAAACCTGGTTCCGTGAAAGTCACGATATCGTGTCCCGTGTTGTACACGGCTTTAGGAGAAGAAAAGTCACAAAGCGCCTGAGACTTGAGTCACGTCGTTGAAGTTGGGATCGTATTCGAAGACGAGAGAATCTCCCACGTGGAATTCTTTAGGGTAGGCCCAATCGTAGTAGACGTCATCCTTCGCAGTCCATCCGTCGGAGTCTCCGACTTTGTAGACCGTCGCGGAGCACCAACTCAAGAGAACCATGAAGATCACGAGCATGAAGCAGAAGATCATCTTCTTTGTTGTAGCCATGATTCGATGGTAATAAACGAAGAGGAAGAGAGATTATGTTGGTGAATGTGTTGTGTGAATGTGAATGAAGAGATTACAATACTTCTTCTCCTTATATAATAAGCTTTTACTGACGGTACCTAATCCATTTCTTCTTAGGATCGTTCTTACTAATTTATTTCCTTTTTTTCTTCATTAACAGAATGATTTTAAACAAAGAAATTATGGTATAATTATTTGGATCCTTTTTGAACTTGGATTCACCCCTTACCTTGAAAATCAAATGACGGTGTAAGTTTTATTGTATCAAATCAATTTTTGGATAAGGTTCTTGCTAAGCATAATAAACACAAGAGTGAATCAAAGCTACTCATGTATTTCTCTGTTTCATTCTTTTATCTTTATTATCCAAAGAAAATGATAGATAGATGTGACTACAATTTCAAATTCAGAGTAGTGAGTTTTTGAATCCGGGAATAGCAAATTCTTGTTTTGATTGGATCAACGGGTCATTAGTCCAACTATAGAGCAATACGGCTCTGTGTTATGCTTGTTAGATAAAGTGATCCGGCAAAACCATAGGGTTTGGTTTGCAGGTCTGGTCACCTAAATGTTTACGGCTGGTTTATGTTTGACCATGGTCCGATTGTTTTCACAGATTCACAAGTGTGATAGAAAAGGAAATTAGTTGAACTATGCAAATAATACATGAACTCAAATCATAAGAAGAAAAAAAAACTAAAAATTGTGTGGCCAAAAAATTGAACATAAAATGACTCAGATAAAAGTTCTTGAGACATGACAATTCTGAGAAAGAAAAAAAGATATATAACGTTGTGAAATGACAAGAATTCCTACTAAGACGTAATTGGCTACGAGAAACACAAGGTATGATCGCATAAATCAAATGTAATGGTGTAATAATCAAATTTAATGGAAACTGAAAATTAAAAAGCCCATTCAAGTACTAACCAGATGCCTCCTTTTTTTCTTTCAAAACTGTGCATGTGACATGTGTAACTTGGTTGCTGAAATATCTGAACCTCGAAACAAGATTCTTCTCTTGTTCCTATATATGTAATTCTCTTTGGTAACCTCGAAACAAGATCAAAATCTCTTTATCCTGGTACTATTTTTCAATGAAAGAACAAGAAGCTGTTCCTCTGCAGACAGTTCCCTAACGGGACGGAGGAAATTGCAAAGACAGAGACAAAAACATCTGAAAAGGATAGGATAAATGAATCCAAACATCTTTAAAATGTTACATTTTTGACATTGTCTTTTAAAAAATCTCTTAATCCTGTGAAGATAAAATACCCCACCAGGATATCTCTCAGTAAGTAGACAAACAAACAGATAACAATACAAATTCTTACATAAGAAAACAAACGTCTCTTAGA